GGTTCTCGAAGCTCCCCAAGCAGCCACAGAACTGATCGTAAAGAAATTAAGATCTTCATTCCCAAGGGGTCATGCCCCATATGAAGGAGAAAGGAATGCTGTAGAGAGAAGCCAAGAAGAAACTGGACAGACTGGCCTCACCGAGTTCCCCACTCAGTTAATAGCGTCAAAACGTCCTTTGTCCAGTCACACATCCGCACGATTGTCCACGATTCAGTCAGGCCTCTGTGATGAAGTCTCCATAAAAAGCCCGAGAGGACAGGGTCCAGAAAGCTTCTGGAGAGGAGGCTCCTGGAGGGTGGCATGCTCAGAGAGGGCGTGGAAGCTCTGTGCCCTTTCCCATATGCTTTGCCCTATGCATCGTTTCATCTGTATCCTTTATACCAAACTAATAGTAAACATGCAAGTGTTGTTGCCTTGGGCCAGCAGAAGGCACAGAGGTTGAGTCACTGGATTCCCACAGGGTTGACCACGGTTTGAGTCCTGGACCTGGAGGCTTGCTTTCTCACCCCCCCCCCTGCTCATCAAATTAAATAATAATGATAATAAATATAATTAAATAATTCTTTTTCTTTTTTTTGAGAGAGAGAGATTTTCACTATAGGGCATGTGCGCTCGCCAGACAGACAGAGAGACATAGAGACAGAAAGTGAGAAATCACTCCCCAGGGGGGATGGCCACGCCGCAATCCCTTCTCCTCCATTCTCCTCTCGGGATCTTGGGCACACACGCACACACGCCCGGCGTGAGTTTTAAGCCACCGGGTCCGGGACGCGAACCGCAGTCGACTACGTGGGAGTCCAGCGACATAGCCATTACGCTAACTGCTGGTTCCCAATAATTCTTGAGTTTGGGCCATGGTAGCAACATAATCAAACCCACAGATAGGGTCATGGGAACTGCTATACACAGCCAGTCTATCGAAGGGCAGGTGCATGTAACTAGCATCTGAAGTTAAGAACAGTCCTGGGGACTGAATCTCTGCCTGCGGGATCTGACACCATCTCCAGACAGAGAGTACCAGAACTGCATTAGAGGACAACCAGCTGGTGCCTGCTATAGAAATGACTGCTTGCTTGGTAGGTGGGGAATCATCCACACATCTGGTTACAGAAGTCTCCCATGTTGATGCCAAGTGATTGCTGAGTGACAGTATAGGAGAAACTGAGTTGGTTTAGTCCTATATTGTCCAAATCACATCAAGGTCAGGCAGTTCAAAGTAAGTAGTTTCTTTTTCTTCTTTTTTTTAATTTTAATTTATTCATTCATTTATTTTTTAATTTGACAGAGAGAGAGAGAGAGAAAGAAGGGAAGTGAGAAAGCAAGCCACCAGGTCCAGGACTTGAACCACTGTCAGCCATGTGGGAATGTCCAGCACCTTAACCACCACACCACCTGCTGGTCCCAAAGTACTTTCTTAAAGGGCTTCAAACGTAAGTAAGGTCATATAAGACTTTAAGTAATGTTGCCTAATACAAGTTGTAAACATAATGAAAGTATGCTCAACCTAACCTGCTTTTCCAACTCGGCAAGTACTATCAGATGCCTTTTTGTCACACAATATAGATAAATACAGTACCTATGTTTTATAGTCAGCTAATACCCAAGCTTACCAATAGTGCAGATACCAATTTCAGAATAGGACAGTGACTGGAAAGTAAGATACACTGAAAACAAGTAATAAGAAATCAAATTGCACTGTGCTACATTTTGAGGGCTCTAAAACTAATATCATAACTGGACTGATGAGCAGCTTCAGTGAAAATTCAGATACATGCATTTTCCCCTCATTCTTAGCTTAGCAATCTCAATATTGTTTCCAAGGAAAAGGTTATCCAACAAAATTTAGTCAGTGTAAGTATCACTTAGGGCAGTATTAAAACAGCTCTTGGGACCAGCAGATGGTGTAAGTGGTTATGTCGCTGGAATCCCACATGGCTGGCTATAGTTCAAGTCTTGGACCTGGAGGCTTAAAAAGTCTCTGACCTGGAAGCTTGAAACTTGCACCAGGCATGCTTGGGTGCGTCAGTGCCCCAAAATCCCAAGAGAATGGAGGAGGAGGGATTCCACCATGGCCATCCCTGGGAGCGGGGGAGTGGGGAGGTGTGATTTCTCGCTTTCTGTCTCTCTGGTGAGTAGACGTGCCCTATAGCAAAAGAAACTCTTAAAAAAATTTAACTATATAGCCTCAGCTAGGTGCTACTTTATAGTATGTTCTTTCTACTCACTGAGTTTCAAGCCTAAAGTCAGACATGTGTTCACAGATATGTGTATATATCAGCTGTACTTGCTATAGAAAGTATTTAGAGTAAGATCTTTGTGAATCAATAAAATGTGGGGGGTGGGGGGGAAGGCATGGAAAGCCACCAGAGATAGTCTGGGAGGAGGATGGGAAATAGCAGAGGGCGAGAGGAGGTAAGGTAATCAAGGAGAAGAAAAAAAAAAGCAAAATATATTAAAAAAAGGGAAATTATTTGTTGACAATAACATGTATGATAATATCCTTGATTGAGCTAATATATAGTGTATTTTGGATGGGAAAACTCATATTTGTATGCTGTAATGATGCGCAGTGAACGAATGTAAGAAAATAAAATTTAAAATAAATTTAAAAAAAATGCTCTCAAGACCTCATCTCTGAATATTACAATACTCTCAAAATGTCATCTCCAAATATGATGATACTGTAACAGGAGAGAAAGGGAATTTCATACTGAACAAGCATCCCTGGAGATTAGAATGCAAGTGGCCCACAGATCATTTTGAAAATACCTTTAGCCTAGAAAAATCTAAATGAGCTATATCCAGTCCTCCTGGACTGGTTAGCAAACCGCAAACCAAAATGACCTAGATCCTAGCTTGTCAGTTGTTTTCCCCTCCCTCATGAATACATTCTGACTAAAGTTTATAGAAACTATGGGAGGCAAAGAGTGTTCCCACGCCAACATGCATTTGCTTAGCAGTCCTCCTGTCCTCGCCTCTAGGTATCTGTTTGTCTTTTTTACATTATAATCATGGTGCAAAAAGTTTCAAATGCTATTGTAAACATTTTTCATGTTATTACCTAGACTTCAGAAGTATCATATTTAGTAACTGCATGAAGTTCCAGCAAGTGAATCTATCCTTGTTTATCTAACCATTCTCTACTCCTGACTATACTCTCACGCCTATAAATAACCTTACTGTGAATATTTTGGTATAGACGGGTATTTCAGTTCCTGAACGCATCTGATGTATGGAAAGAAAATTGGTACTGTCAAGGTATTTTTCAAAAGGATTTTTATCACCATCTTTATCAGAAAGTGCTCCTCATGTTCTCTCAGAAAACTCTGGTGAAGTTAATGCAAGAAAAGAAAGTACCTCACCGCTTTAATCTGCATGCCCTTAGTTACTGGTGAAGTTAAAATATTTGTTCATTTTTTTCCTCCCTTGAATGACCTGCCCCTTAACCATTTACTAATAGGATCTCGTGTATTTCTTTCTAGTTGTGCGAACATTACATTCAATTTCCTACTGATCTTCCTGAATGGCGGTCTCTCGTCTGTTCCATGGGCCTGTTTTTCCTTCAGCACCACTCGTGGCTCTGCTACCCGAATAAAAACACATTCCAGCCAGGCAGCCAGACGCATTCTGGTATAATGAAACACACATGGTCTTCCGTGAGCTTGGCTGTTACCTTGGGCAAGTGCTTGACCTCTGCGGGCCTCGATCCCATTTGTAAACTCCGGGCAAACAAGACCTCCACCTTGCTAACAGGACTGCGGGGATGAGAAGCCCACAGTGCCAAACTGTTACCCCCTGCCACTAAACCCACGTAATCGGATGTCAACGTACTTATCCTCGAGTCCTCAAAAGGCAACTCCAACACCGGGGGTGGGATACATTTTTAAGCAAGTGTGACCCCCGTCTGCGGGTACACAGGGCAGGTAAAGTCACACTTAACTTGTTTCGGTATTTGCTTTCCTGGGTCTTGACCAAAATGGAAAAAAGTGAAAACAAAACAAAACAAAAACCCCAAACACCAACCTCGTCGCAAGATTTTCCAACTATTCCCCTGCCCCGAACAAAAACAAAACTGTGCCTGCCAATGGGTAATTAAGACAACCCGGTCGGTGCTCCAGCCCGGCCCCTTCTGAAATCGCGAAGCCTGGGCGACGCGCCACCGTTGGAACGTGAGCGCGCCTGTCAACGGCCACCGCTCGCGGGCTGGGACATGCCCCGCGACCAGAGCGACCGGC